AGAACAAGGTCCTGCACACATGACTCCTTTCACTTCACTTTTCTCAGCTGGGGGCGTTAAAAAAAAAGGCGCACGTGAAGAAAAAGCCACGCGCCGAACCGAGCTAAACAACATTTCTCACCTGAGATAATCTCCCGCTTGGCTTCATCTAGATGACTGGAAACAACGTCCCCCATGGCGGAAAAAAAAGTCGAGTTTCAATCCGCTGCAGAGCTCCGAGAAGAATACGGCGAGTCCGGTGCCTGTCCCTCTCTTGTCTCCTCTGTCCTGCTGTGTCTCTGTCCACCTGGAGAGGCTGTAAACTCTGGTTGACAGGGTTCTGGACCTGAACAAACACTTGGCCGACTGACAAACTTCCAGCGGGTCTTTTCCTCCGAGACACTCCCTTCTTCAGAGGAGGGACTCCCAACCTGCGGAGTGCTGCGTTCAAGGACTGTAGGGGAAAATCACACTCCCTTCTTCAGAGGAGGGACTCCCAACCTGCGGAGTGCTGCGTTCAATGACTGTAGGGGAAAGTAACACTCCCTTCTTCAGAGGAGGGACTCCCAACCTGCGGAGTGCTGCGTTCAAGGACTGTAGGGGAAAGTAACACTCCCTTCTTCAGAGGAGGGACTACCAACCTGTGGTGTGGTGCGTTCAAGGACTGTAGGGGAAAGTAACACTCCTTTATTTAGAAGAGGGACTCCCAACCTGCGGGGTGGTGCGTTCAAGGACTGTAGGGGAAAGTAACACTCCTTTATTTAGAAGAGGGACTCCCAACCTGCGGAGTGGTGCGTTCAAGGACTGTAGGGGAAAGTAACACTCCTTTATTTAGAAGAGGGACTCCCAACCTGCGGAGTGGTGCGTTCAAGGACTGTAGGGGAAAGTAACACTCCCTACTTTAGAGGAGGGACTCCCAACCTGCGGAGTGGTGCGTTCAAGGACTGTAGGGGAAAGTAACACTCCCTACTTTAGAGGAGGGACTCCCAACCTGCGGAGTGGTGCGTTCAAGGACTGTAGGGGAAAGTAACACTCCCTACTTTAGAGGAGGGACTCCCAACCTGCGGAGTGGTGCGTTCAAGG